ACATCAGCACCAATGTGCATTGCTTAAAGCCAATTGAAGGGATAAGGAAAAGTCCTAGCCAGCTCTGTACATACCAGTGCATGAAATAGGGCCAGATTTTGCTAAAATGCGACAATTGCTCTTCTTTCAAGGACAGTCATCCAGGTGGTCTTCCACAACTATCAGAAGAAAACTGGTTGCTGCTAGGATGCAGGATTGGAGTGAAGACAGGTAGGGAAGTAGAGTACTACTATTCATTGGATTAAAAAAAGATGAGCATCCTTACTGAAATAAAAAACATTAAAATTCAATTTTAAAAGGCACCAGCATTACTAGTCCACATTTCCCCCTATGGCCTTTTATTTATTCATTTATTTGCAGCTCAGGCTGGTCTCAAACTCGTGATGATCCTCCTGCCTCAGCCTCCCAAGGGCTGGGATTACAGTCGTGTGCCACCACGCCCAGCTGGTCTTTTATTTAAATATGGCATTCTTTTTCTTTCATTTTAGACAGAAAGCACCATTACTTTTTATTTCCTAATCATATTACTCATTTAATGACATAATTATCCAATTATTTACACCTCATCCAAAGAGGAGGACTGAAGATACTCTCCTTCATAGTTAGGGTGGTAGGTGTAAAAAGCTTAAAATAAATTTCCAAAGACTAGGAAACAGAAATTCTTTATCCTTTCCTTCCCAGTGGTGGCACTGGAAGAAACTTACTAAAGTTAGACCAGAGGCAGGGATTCTGGGAAAACCATCAAAAGTTGTACAATGAGATGTGCAATAGGGAGTCTTTAATATAGCTGGCAGATGAAGAAAAAACAAGATTAAATCAAAATGCTTGACTCTTTCACAACTGTTTTTTCTGAAGATTTCAAAGTTAATAAGCAACCTCATCATCTATACATACATCACTATGGTAAAGCAATATTTATTCTATCTTCTGAATTTAGTAAGATGTGTTACTTGTTAGTGAGTTTTTTTGTATTTCCAATCAATGATCATATAATGATCCAAGTTTATTAAAACCCTGACAGCATGCAAAGTGTTTCTTTATGTTTATTCCTGGACTAGTTACTGAAGGGACTAACTCTTCTGCCTCTATATTCAATGAGCATCTGGAGATACAGTATGGCACATGGTTGAGATGTGATCATTTCATGGGCATCACCATTTCTCACACTTATCTCTGGAGAACATAAAGAATAGAAACATGGATGGCTTAATAAGGACCTGGCTTCTTCAACTGTTAAAGGAGGACCTGGAGGGAAATTATTGATAAACATGAACAAGATAATACATATTATGGTTAAAATGTATTCTTGGGAACCTAAAGATTTAAAACTGTTAGGAATGGTTTATCAGTTCTTTATATAACTATTTTTTAAAGGATCTCAATTATTTCAAATAATTGCTATTGCTAACAATAGCAATTATTTGAAAAAGTTATATAACCTTGAAATATAATGTAAGAGTCATATTGTGAACAAATGGAAGGATATGTCTCAATTTAAATTCACAACTTATTTCAGCAAACTTCCCAATTTGTTAACAGTAGGGTGTGGGCAACAGGAAAGAAGGAAGTCTTTCTCTTCCTCAAGTATTTGGAAACCACATTCATTTTAGGCTACTCATTCAGTTGCAGGCCATCGCATATATATAATTTGGTATCTTTTTCCAGTTAGCCCTGTTTGGTTACCTTTTAAATGAAATGCCCTGTTGTTAAATCTAGTCTCTAAGACTGTTAGCAGAGCTTACTCTAAATTCACCAGGATACGTTATTTGCTGCTATTATCCTTATACTTGGGCCAGGTTCATATTTAAAAGTATTTACCTCAACATAAATTAAATTTCTTATTTATGGTTCTCAGAGAATAGAAAGTAGGATCTAATACTGTGAATTAAAAACATTTACTGTTACTAAACTAGGTAGTCATTCAATACACACTTAGAGAGTACTTGGTATGTACAAGACACAGTGTCAACCACTTAATCTATGGAGATAAAGAATCCTTAGAAATAGTGAAGCAGACACTGTTTCCTTATTAAGAGAGAGTTCCTATGCAGAAGGAAGGAAAAGATATGGCAAGGTTATTATACATCTCAGGACATGGCACCAGTTAAACCAAACTGAATTTTCTTGTATTTCTATGAGGAAGTAGGAAGAAGGAATAAAGAAAGACATAGGCAGAATTTATATTACTTTTGGGTGGTTACTTGTGGTACCAGACCAAAACCCACTTCCAGGATCCCTTTTAGATTGCAGTCCATCTCATTCTGACTCTATCCCTGCGCACAAACTCCTTCCCAGCCACCCACCTTCATCTTCCCTCACCATAATTTTCTGCAAAGGTTTAATCTGTAAATTTATCCATTACAGATTTCTGAGACTGATAAAATATCAACATTATGCACCTCAAAATGATATTACAAAGTAGTTTATTATGAAAAAAGGATTAAAGATGGAGAGAGATACTGAGATTTTTCAGGGACTGAAATGTATGTAGAGAAACAAGCAATTGCCACCTACGCAGGCCATGGCTCCATGGTCTTAGAGACCCTCTTGTCTTTCTTGACTATCCCCTTATGCTCTGTCAAGTGAGAGCTCTTAGAGGCTGTGAGGGGAATAGGAAGCTCATTTACAAAGTGTTTGAGGGTTCACAATTTAAATTTAAGATTCTGTATAAAGAAATTCCATTCGCAACACACTCTGAAAATAATATTGGGAAAGTGGACTCGAGTGATAGGTCTCTAAGAACCATCCTTTGAGCAGTTATAGATTTAAGCACTGAAAATGGGTAGGTACTTACTTTTTGGAGACTTGAGGCAGTAAGTGTGCAACATTCTTTGGTACTATAACTCAATATTTAATGACTCATCAACCAAGTTGTCATTCTTAGGAATTACTGCAATTAAAATCCATTTCCTTTCCTTAATCTGTCAAGGTCGAAAATAACTAGTTACTCTTTCTTATAATAAACCTTATATAATTAAAGACTCTTTGTTGCTCCCATCACCCCCTTTTTTCAAGCTAAGTTAACTCTCCTGGGCTCAAATCTTGTTGTTGTTGTTTTTTTTTTTTTTTTTTTTTTGGTATCTGGAATCCAACTCAGGACCTTGCACTTCCAGGCAAGCCTTGCGCCGCTGAGCTATATCCCGGGCCCCCAAATCTTTAGTGGTGTTTTATTTTGGTGTTAGTGTTGAATCATAAGTACAACTCATTGAATGCTGTAACAATTTCTCTACTGTTCACAAGCATGTAGATTCTGAGCAACATTGCCAGCCTCCTAATGCTGATATTAAACTGTACACCTCTGGATTTTAGATATATTACTTTTATTTTGGGAAATTAGTTTTATAGCTGAGAGATTTGGAGTGTAATCCTTTTAGACACTACATGAAGTATCAATGATGGTCATTCTCTAATATGACAACTGATCACTGGTCTTTTCGGTATTAATAACATTTCCTTAGGAATGTGTGGAACTAAAAAAAATTAAGTTTGTTTGTTTAGAGAATGAGCCATTTAAAAAAATTGCCACTTCCCTTGGTAGAATGTTGCCCAAAGTCTCAATCTCTTCTGGAAGTAGTTTATTGGAGGCACTTATGGGAGGGCACTATTACATTTGTCTTCACACGAGTTATCTCATCATGAAGTGTAAATATTAAATCTGAGATACACCACTGACAGGCATCATGTAAGGTGGGGTTGGCAATAAAAGGTGTGACGTCGCAGTCCCAGGCTAGTGTCAATGATCCACCTTTTAACACACCCGTTTCTTTAAGGCCTTTACCAACCTGTCAAAGGGAAAGCATCTCTTGGGGTGATGCAAGCCAATTTTCACATAGATCGGAAATGTAAACACCTAATCACAGCGCCCATTTCTACAGCAAGAGGCTGGGGCAAAGGGCACAGTGGTGGTTCTGGTGAGGGAGGCTTCATTTGGGACTCTCTCTTTGACGCCCTAAGACCCTCCTCGTTAGTAGGCCACACGCATCCCATCGCTTACTGCGGGACGTTTGCTCAACCCTCTCAAACCAGGACTGAGGAGGGCCTCGGCCTCTCGGGCTGCATCCACGGAGATTTCTTCAGTCTCTGGTGTGCGAGGCACATTTTTACGGACTGCAAAAATTAAACACAGGGGCTAAGGTTCTGTCCGTTGCAGAGATGTCTGCAGTGGTCTGGGAGCGCTACCGAGGCGACATCTCTTGCGGAGCCGCCGCCACCACAGCCTCCACCACAGCCGCCGCTGCGCGGGCAGGTGCCACTACCACGCGCGGGATCCCTGTGTCTACCTCAGCGCCCGCCTGCGCAGGGCTCCCTCGTGCCGCAAGCGCCCCGCCCTCTGCCACCTCCGCAGGCCTCATTGGCCAGACCCTGCGTTAACGTCAGCTTCTGATTGGCCACAGCGCCTATCGGTCTGCTCGGTAGGGACATTTCCGCATTGAGGGGGCTGCTCTGAATGAAGGGGGAGGGGAGGTGTCTGAAGAAAGTGGGGGCTTTGCTGTCTGTCGGGAGCCGTCTGACTAGTGGGAACAGGGGGGGCAGCGACTGGGCTGCGATTGCTGGCGAAAGGTCCCAGGTGTGTCTGTGTGTGGGAAGAGGGGGAGAGAAGCGTGCCTCAGAGGTGACATTCTCTCAGCCTGCGAACCTTCTTCCTGGGGCGCCATAAACACCCCCAGTTGCTCAGCTGCCAAAAGAAGAGAGGAAGGTGGGTCTCGCCGGCGGCTTGCGGAGGGGCGGGGTCGTGTGTGAGTCTCTGACCCGCCGCGGCTCCGAAGGCCGAATTTGGGATTTGCAGACGCAGGGCAGCAGGGACGAGACTGTGCCTGGGAAGGGGCGGGCCCGAGGCGGGAGCCCTCGGGGGCGCGCGGGTTCTCCCCTCAGCCGAGCCCCGGGCTCCGCGTGGGGCGGGGCGCCCG